AGGGGGGATGGGTGGGTCGGGGGAGAGTTTTGGAAATTGTTTTCCATAAATTTGAAGGAAAGTCATTTTCCGAAGTGTTGATTTGAAAAGCATTAAATCCAACCAAACATGAGAAAATTGGAAACACACCCATTGTAAGTAAACATATTTGATTTCTAAAAAACTGCTATATATGTAATGTCCCTTCAATTGTTCTTTTGATCATCAATTGGTTTCGTTTTTGCTAATGTTGTGATTTTCTACTTGTTCTGCAAGATCATAGTGTACGCCCATTGTTGAATTGGAATATCCGCTTTGAAATCATATTGGGCATTGCTCGTGGACTTCTTTATCTACACCACGACTCCAGATTACGTATCATTCATAGAGATCTAAAAACGAGCAATATTCTATTAGACGAAGAGATGAATGCCAAAATATCAGATTTCGGCTTGGCCAGGAATGTTGAAGGCAAAAGTATTGATGCTAAGACGCAAAAAGTTGCCGGAACTTAGTAAGTATATATATATATATATGCTTTCAGTTTAGTTTTCTGCATAATATAATCGCCAAAAAACTTATGAAATTACAAGTATATCGGAAATTGTGCAATCACCTGTTTATAGAGAGCAGCCTTGTTTCATGAACTAGCCCCTCTCAAATCCCCACTTGATCAGGAATTCTTCATTGACAGTGTCACCGGAGCTAGATGGATCTTAATTACCGGCGTGATATTATTGACTTTTTAGTCAAAATCATTCTTAAAATATAGAGAAAATACATTAAAAAAAACCCTGAATTTGTCCGCTAAATTTACTTTAGTACTTTTAGCTTTATAAATAATCATTTACTTCTAAATCTCATTTCAAGTGAATTAAAATCCACCCAAAAAGCTAACGTCGCAAATAAAAAAAAAGAAAAGGCTAGTGAAAACGTAAAAAATCAAAATAAATACTCTCTCTGTCCCTAATTACTTGTCCACTTTTCCTTTTATAGTTATTTTTAATTATTTGTCCATTTTGACAAATCAAGAAATGACAATTTTTTTTACCTATTATACCCTCAATTAATTACTTTGAAAAAAGTAGAACTTTTTGAAAATCTTAAATTTTAATTCATCTACTTCATAATTAATAAGGGTAACATGATAAACTTACTATGTCAATAATTATTTTCTTTAATAGGTGTGTCAATTCAAAAGTGGACAAGTAATTAGGGACAGAGGAAGTAAACAAATAGGCCTTTTTTTTCTTTCCAACCAATAAGGTTTCATCTTCCTCACACCCCACCACCCCACCACCTTTCTCCACCATAACCCCACCCTTACGCCTCGAACCCCCCACCCGCACCTCTCTTTCCCCTATTTCGAACCCTGCCGCCACCCACACTTGCCTCACCCCTTTCTTCTTCTTCTTCGAGGTCCCGTCCCTGCCACGTTCTTTCTTCTTTTTCAAAACACTCCACACATTCCTTCATTTCAAATTATTCTTGCTTATTCTTAGAAATGATGAATAGGAAAAAAAATGAAAAAACCAACAACTTATTATTGCTTCAAGATCTTACTTTTGGAAGGGTTGTTGATTGTGATGAACTTGAAGTTTTTTTAATAAAAATAATATAATTTCTTCATCTTAAATTATTTTTTTTAATTTGTACTCCTATTATTTATTTATTTTGATAATGTGCTTTAAAAATTGAATGTTTTCTAGTCTTGGATCCATAAAGTTTGATTTTATTTTTATAATCTTAGATTAATTCTCAATTTTTTTTCTATTTTTTACCTTTCTAAAATTGTATAAATAAAAAGAAACAAAAAAGAATTAAAAAAACTCAAAATTTAAATAAATTTCAAGGTGGCGCTGATGTGACAATGATGTGGCATTGATTTGGCAATGAAATGGAGCATGTGTAATACACTTGCCATTGTGAGACTGATATTGTAATATTAGATTTGAAAAAAAATCACTTCAAAAATGTTAAGGGGTATTTAAACGTCCATGTAGTTTAAGTGCTAAAGTAAGTTGTGCTGCCAAGTTTAAGGGGTTTTTTTTATGTGTTTTCTCTAAAATATACCCTAAACTTAAACTATATCCTTAAAATATTATTCTTATCAAGAAAACATTTTTCAAGTATTTAAAAGTGAATAATTTTCATCCTTCTACTTGAATTTATGAGAAATCTAACAAATCCCACAAAAATCAAGTTATTCCTTCATAATTATTATTCTTAGATACGCCAAAAATACTATCGTGAACTTTTATGGTAATTAAGTTTAGCATTATGCAAAATCTTTAAATTTGACAGTTTTTTTCATTTATTTTTCATGTAATTTCATATTTAAAATATTATTAGTTGGTATAAGTTTCTTCTCAATTGAATATACTAGAAGTGACGTTTGTCGGAAACTTCCCCTTCTAATAATGTAGAATGAAACTCAAATGCGAGACATGATCAATATTTTGATTACTTCAATATCAGATTGACCCAAATATTTATTGATCTAAATACAATTTGACTTTGAAAAAGGTAAAGGTAATTAAGCTTCAGCTTATTTCTGTTATTAAATGAGAAAAAGAGCTGATCATGTATCCTCACACCTTCCAAACATTTTTTGTTTCAGTAAGCAATGGTGTCTAAGATTCTTAATATTTATTTTCGAAACTTCTTATAGCAGGTAATGAAATTATGCAAGAAAACTTTTGTTGATAGTCACATGAATTGCTCATGTTTTGTAGGATCCCTTAGTTTTTTGACTATATCTAACATAAGGATGAAAATTGTTAACTTTCAAATATTTAGAGGATGTTTTTTTGCCAAAAAAGATATTTTAAGGATGTAGTTTAAGTTTGGGGTATAGCATAAGGATGTTTTTGACCAAAAACTTTGATATTGTTTCCCGGTAGTATTTTTCCCCAATTGAGTTGTGCTATCATGGGCCGAGCCTCTTTTACCTGAAAATTATGCGGTGAATAGAGGTTAAATGTTAATTATTATGAATATATATTTAATTTTGTATATTATTCACCTAACTAAAAAGAAAATTTGCAAATCCTCGCCACAGGCGTTTACTGATCATGTACTCATTCATCTACTCAAGGCCGTTTTTATCTCATATACATGGTGGTATACGTTATCTTGACTCATACATGATGGGATACACTATCTAAGATAATTAATCCTGGGATAACTTGTTCGTTTAATTGGATCAATTCTTGTCTTGTGATATACAGCGGCTATCTTGCACCAGAATATGCATTGGAAGGACTTTTTTCAATCAAGTCTGATGTTTTTGCTTTTGGAGTGGTTGTACTGGAAATCATTAGTGGAAACAAAAACTTGGATGTTCTTGAAGACACAAACCTCTTGGGTCATGTAAGTACCTCTCTATTTAGAACATGTAATCTTAAGACATAAACGAAATGTGAAGATTGACATATAAAGTAGGCCTTCTGTCCCAATTTATATGAATATTGGGCATCGTTGATAACTCGAAATTAAATATAATTACAGGCTTGGAAACTATGGATGGAAAACAAGGCATTGGACATAATGGACCAAAGTCTAGTGGATACATTCAATGAAATTGAAGTAGTAAAGTGCATAAACATAGCACTTTTATGTGTGCAAGAAGATCCAGGTGATAGGCCAATTATGTCAAATGTGATAATTATGCTTGGAAGTGATAGCATGCCTCTTCCAAGACCCAATCAACCAGCTTATGTCACAAGGAAAAATTACACAATAGGAGCAAGCACATCATCCTCCTCTTCTTATAATTATAATAATTACTATAATTATGATTCATTCACTGGCTCCAAAAATGAGTTGACCATCACTGATATGCAAGGCCGATAAATATTATATAGTAGTAGTAAGTTTTGCACGATATGGACATGTTAAATACATATTCTAAGGTTAGTGTGAATGACAATATTTATGTAGTAGGCGGATCTACGTAGAGGAGAGGGAATGCAAGGGCACCCGATCGAACACTCGAGAAGAACTTCATGTATAAATATCTCGAGTATATATGTGTATGTACTCCATTAAAATCTATGTGTGTTAGCATATATATATTGAATGTAAATATAGTAATTTGTATATTATGATAAATATAGGGCTAATAGGTTAGGATTAGCAGTACTATTCTCTTGTATGGAGCACACAATTGAAGCAGACATGTTGATGCTCAGCTTTGTGCTTATAGTAATTCTTGGATAATACTAATATTTGTACTGGTAATAAAATCCTTGTTAATCCTCTAAATGTTGCATTAGTTTTCTTTTAAACTCTTGAAATTATTTATTTACTATAGTAATAAAGTAAAACAATTTATTTGTCTTTTTCCTCATGTTTTATCATGAAAGTTGTAAGTAGAATAACTACAAATTAAAATCATGGCACAAAATTGACACCCATACTGTCATCCTTCTGCATCTCAATTTTATGCAGGTTGCAACAAAAGACATGAAAATTGAATATTGAAACACAGAAATGGTCCTATATAGGCCAAGTCAACTTCATAAGTATGGGCTGAAAAATAACATTTGTGTGCCAAAGTATATATGCACCGCGAAGATATGGGTAATATATACTGTGGAATCTATAATATGATGAAATAGCTAACAACAAATTGACAAATTATAGTAACGGATTCATCGATCTTTTTCAGGAGCTATATATGCATAAATAAATATGGACCACTGTATCTATATAGTCCAAATGATATATTTACTATGTACTACTATATAATAACGGCTATAAATAATATTGTCTATATTGACATTTCCATGAGGAATTGAATTCAAATTCTCCATATAATGTCAGGGGACCTTTATATTGTATCGTATTAGTTACAATTTTGATGATGCTGACAATTTCAGATATTCAAGGATTAAATGCATGTTCTGTTCTAGATTAGTGAGGCCTTTATTGGTTAATATTAGCAATGTATGCTGTAAAGTAGTGAAGGTAGTTGTGATAAATATGGTACTTTTAATCCTGTCTTGTGAACCCCATACATACATATATATATTAACTAGTTTAATTGAGATCCATGGATATGTAGAGAGATTTGGTCAAAGTTTCACATTGGCCTAACCAGCTGTGTAGAGTCATAAATATACAAACTTATCAAATTAAATCCCAACAACCTATTTGCTCCATTCCCCTTTAGTACTCTCATCATGATCACATGCATCTTCCATTACCTCTTTGCCCTTTTTTATACACAACTTGCCAAATAACAAGAATCAATTTGGTCCAATAATTTTCAGTACGTACAAGGTAATATTATAGTCATTTATCAACTTTCATTATTAGCTTATATGGATACAGAATATACCTCCTCTTCTGCTGACATTTATGTTCTCTAACTTTGAATGTATACAAGTAGACATTTATACTTGTACCGTGTACTCATTATTCCCTCCGTCCCATTTTATGTGAGGTAGTTTGACTCGACACGAAGTTTAAGAAAGAAAGAAAGACTTTTAAAACTTGTGGTCCTAAATGAATGATAAAAATTTGTGTGACTGCAAATCATTTCATTAAGGATAAAATATATTTTATAATTAAATTATTACTTAATATAGAAATATGTCATTCTTTTTTGGATTTACTAAAAAAAAAGTAAGTCACATAAATTGAGACAGTGGAGTAATATTTTGGGGTAACGTGTTTGGATTTAATATCTAGTAATTAGTGGTTTTGAATAGTCTATTTGCGCAGATTAAAGATGAAAATAAAGACAAAAGAATGAAAATAAAGGAAGAGCAGGTAGGTACATGAGAATGTGTGAAGAAAATGAAGAAGCTGCTGACAGCCGCAGCCCATAAAGGCATGTGTATCTTCTTCGATTCAAAGTCTGTTACCAATTATTATATCCAAATTTAATCTCCACAACAGTTGCCACTTTTATAATATTCACGAGTGGAACTCGATTAAATTTAGATCGCGGTAGAATATACCACATTAAGGGTAAAAGGCTCTCTAACAAAGACGACTTTATATTCAAGAGAATTCGAACTTAAAACCTCTAATTAAGAATGAAAGATCGGTACTTACCAGAAATCAGTCCACCACAACTCTTGTTGGTGACACTCTGTCAAAAAAAAATAGCCTACCACTTTATCTTCCCAAAACTGTGACCATATATCCAAACCGATTCCGTAGCGGAGTCAGAATTATATATGCTTATATATGCACTTTTAATCATATAAATTAGTATAATTTTCTATTGAAGAAGTCCATACCTGATTACTGAATTTATGAATTATTGTTGTGTTATGAACAAAAAATATATTTATCACAAGAATCATCCAACCATCCATTTAGATCCGTCTCGCCTCGCATTCATGACTCTAATATTTCAAATACGGTAAAGTTGATTATCTAAATCTTCACTGTAAGGTTCTTCCCATTGAGGATTTGTTATAGTAGAAATTCTCTATGTTACTAATTATTTCTTTTTTTAACCGTATGCTTTGACACCCCATGAGTGGTGTTGGGTACAGAGGTGTGAGGTTGGGACTACTGAGTACTTATCCATAAACCAATATTCCAATCCAAGCAACGCCAGGTTCCAATAATCATTCATTCACATATTTTATTTATTTTCCATTTATTACGTGCAAAATAAATCTTATTAATATTTTAATAAACTTATCCATCAAAGTACATGTTACGCTGCGGATTATCCTGAGTTTTCAAAAAATAGTCTAAAATTTCATAAACTTATCCATCAAAGTACATTTTAAATGTCACGTTTAAACAATTCAAAGTGACACCGACAGTGCCCCAAATCAGTCAAAGACTCATGAATGAGAAAACTAGCTACCTTGCAAAAAAATTGCTGTACTAATCGAAATTAATCGAATACGTTAGAATTTATTAAGTAAATATATAAAGAAAAAGGTAGATAGACACTGCATGTTAATGTCAAAATCTAATATTATAGCAACTTTTTACCAAAAGATTACATTAATTTAAAGAAAAATGAAACATTCCAATGACACAAGTGGATTTTCAAGTGATTCATTTCCATTTGTCGGTGGCCAATTAGTTTCTCCATTTCCATCTCTCTCATCCATTTTCCGGATCCGATCACCCAATTCGGATCTCACCCTTCCCGGCGACTTACCCGTTTTCCTCACCGACGGACTCCTCCCTAAACCCGACCCGTATCCTCCATTCTCCGTCCTCATCGCCGGTGACCTCGATCTCCTACCGGAGCATTCCCCATTATCCTTCCTCTGTACCCGAGATTCTCTTCCGGATCCGGATCTCACCCGACCCGGAGACGGATCGGATCTTCTCGCTGGCGAGTTTCCAACACTTCTCTGAAAGGAACCGTTCCGGTACTTCGCCGGTGACCGCTGCCGGACTTCGTTAGCGTCATCTTCAGCTGCATATCGCTTCTCTGTTACTGTTGCCGCCTCACTGAGAGTGCTGCTGCAGATCTCGGATACTTCTTCGGAAACATCATCAGGGTGGTTGAAATTAGGGGTAATGGGTTTCTTCATAATGTGATTTTTATGGTACATTTCTTCCATCGAATTGGAAAATTTCGAGATGGGTGAGGATTTTTTGGGACTATTTTCATTAGCGTAGAGTTTTGAATTTGGAAAAGTGGGAATTTCAGAGAGCACTTCTTTCACTGTTTCTTCCTCACTCTGTTGTGAAGAAGAATTTGATAGAGTTGGAGGTAGTAGTTTGCTGCTACCACTGCTAACACAACAACCCATTTTCGGTAGCTAAAAAGAAAAAACCCTCTAATGGAGTTAACAGCTACTTCATTGTATGACGGTGGTTATGCGGCGGCGATGTGGTGGAAGACGGTGGTGATAATTTGGAGGGAAGAATGTGATTGGGATTTTGGAAATGGAGAAAGACTATAAAGAGAAGTGAGTCAATATTGAAGTGAGAATATTCATGTGAAGGAAGAAATGGTTTCCTTTAATATAGCAAAGGGGTGGCCCCAAAAAACTGAATTAAAACTTTGGTCTAAAAAATTTAATACTCCTACCTTTTGTTAATGATTAAAAAAAAGCTTAATGACTAGGATTCATATGTGATTATTAATTCATGATTTTGTTCCCCCAACGTCTACTTTTTAAGTTTTAGGTAGTATAATAACATACAAAATATATTAGAATCTTAAATTCTAAAAGGTTATCAAATAATGAAAAATATTATTAATAGCTTAAGTTAGTTGACTTTATTAAATGTCGAATCCTTTTCAATAAATTTTTTGACTCTGTCACCGGTCATTATTAAGGGTGTGCAAAAATCAAATTGATCGATAAATCAAACTGAAAAAATGTTATTGATGTATTGTTATTAGGTTAACAGTTTTTTTAAAAAAATTATTAGATTATCGATTTGGTATTTGTTTTTAATATTTAATATTGGGTAAACCGATAACCTATTAAGACTAATAATTTACTATTTTTACTTGTACATAATATTAAATAGTAATCTCAATGCCTTACTAGTTACTATAGTATTGTCTATCTTTGGCATTTAGTCTTCAGTTCACACTTCACATTATGCAAAATGTCAAAACCTTAAGTAAGAACTATATTCCTCTTAATTTATATTTGTGTTACACTTGTATAGTTATTTTCATGTTTGTTATTATTGTTTTTATTTTATGAGCATTTGTAAAGTTACATTATTACGTTATCGCATCAAATTTATTAGAGAAGTAATATATTTTTTATAACTGGTTAAACCGAAAACCGAACCGTTAAGGACCAAATCTGATAAACCGAAAAACGATTAAAAATATCTTATCGATTTAGTTATTGATTTAACGTATTTAAAAATAAAAAATCAACAAACCGAACCAACACATAAAATTGAACTGATCGATAGCACACCTCATTATAGTTTTACCCCTTTCCTACCACCCCATTTTTTTAAAGAAAAAGGCCTTTACTAAATAATGTCATGTAAAATTTGAAGTAAGGAATCACTTGCCAATTATAACAAAATTGTGACCCCAACAAATTGAATAGCTTACAAAGGTAGTGTTACATCAGGCAAAAATAATAAATAAATAAATAGATAAACCTTGGTTATAGAATATGGCAATATTTTGTCCATTCGAGAATATTTTATCATTTTGAGGAATATGACAATTCTTGGGAAGAATTTTCCAGATGTCCCCACTTTACCTCCAAAATCCAAAAGAAAAATTAAAAAAAAAAAAATCGAAAAAGGTGAAGGCAGAAAAATAGTGTAATTTATTTTGTTATATATATACTCACAAAATTTTAATTAATTGAAATGTATTTATCTAATATGATGCATATGTTAACCATTATAAAGTAATAGAGTACATATAATTTCTATGACAAATATCATTATTCATGTGTTTATCGATTTAAGTTGCATCGTACATTTTCCTAACTCAGTTTAGAAGAAATGATTATTGTTCCATAACCATGATCTTAATCATGATTAATGTTGCAATTAGTAATGTTAAGTGTTTTTGGTCTATATATCCACTTATCGCATGTGTAACCAGGGAACATATACATGTGAAACATGAAACTAGTGTAATGTGTCCATCCTCACGTTAATAGGCCAAAAATAAATAACTAATCTTATTGGTTGGAGCTCAAAACCAATCACGCAAAAATTAATGATTTGTTTTATTTAAATAGTTTCCAAAAATTGGTCTTTTGATTAAAAAAAAATTTATTAGTTAACATTTCAGACGTAAAATTTAGTTAATTTGGCCATCCATGTAATAATCCGCGATGAGGGGTAGTGGGGACTATATGACAGGAGGCTTTTCTAGAAATTTTAGCCTTTGCTTTACTGAGATTGTTATGAATCCAATAAATTACTACGTTTTCCTAAATGTTAACTAAGCTAATCGACTTAGTTTCATTTAATTCAATCAATAATTTTTTTATCTTTTTTTTGTAACTATTGATAGAAAAATACGATTTCAATATTAGTGCAAATTTAATAGTCTAACTAATACAAAATAATTTTCATATATGGTCATTCTTCGAGTCCGAACTTCGACTTTAGGCGAAGAAATCTATTTCGATATTTATTTTTAGGAACATGCCCTTTAATTTTGATAGAATAGATTAAAAATTATGTCCTTTAGACGTCGGACTCGTCATTAATCCATGTCATTTTCAAGGTCAAGTTTTATGCCATGACGAATGTTGAATTTCAAAACAAGGAAAGAAACAGCAATTAAACAAAAAGGAATTCAAATGCAAAAGAGTCCCCACAAATTTATTTATTTTCCCGTTTCATGTTCCTTTCTTCATATTTATTGACCTAAAACAAGGAAAAAACTTCCTTCTCGTGATTTTCATTAACAATATGACAAACGGAAATCAATTAATATTCTAATTTTTAGATCTCATCTCATCTAATTCAAAGATGCCAAATTAAATCAACTCGTATGATATATATATTCCGATCTGTTGATTTCATATTATAATATACATGGGTAGATGTAACTTTAAGAAAGTCGATGGGATATGGTAATTTAGTTTTATGTAATTTTTTTCTTTTTCTTTTTTGATACGGTGGTTCGACTATAGGAAAGTTTCACTTTACTAAGTAAAACGCTCTCAACTAAAATCAATATTTCAGTAATTTTGGTTTATCTTTTATATATATATAGAGATAGGGTGCGCATCGGTCGGTTCGGTTCGATTTTATGTGTTATTGGTTAGGTTTATTGATTTTCGGTTTGTAAATACATCAAACCGATAACCAAACCAATAACATATTTCTTATCGGTTTTTGGTTAATCGATTTATGGAACTTAATGGTTCGGTTTTTGGTTTAACCAATAAGAAAATACTCATATATATTATATACACGATAAGAAAAATTTCATATAAATCATATGATTTTTCCAGTATTTGGCATGAAAGTAATAATCATAAAAGTAACAATCATTTTTCTTGCAAGTTTAGACACTACACATTCAAAGGAAAAAGTGTGAAAGTAATAATTGTTTAACCATTAACAATAAGACTAGTAAATTTAGTATAGTCTTATTGGGTTATTGGTTTAACCATTAACAAAAATCATAAAATCGGAAACCGAACCAATAACCCAATAAAAAAAATTGCAAAATCGTTAGCCCAATAAACCAATAGTGTTTTTTTCGATTCAATTTATTGATTAAATCGGTTTTTGCACACCCCTATATAGAGAGAGCATTTTATTAGGTCCTCAATAGAACATACATTTATATATCAGTCTACATCAATACATGAAGTGGTTTAGGCCTATCAAGAAATCAAACATATAAACACATCTAAGTTAAATCTCCCATGTATTTATTTAAACAAACGGGTAATGCTAAATGACCAGAAAATTTGGCCAGAAAATTAAAAAGTCTATAATATCCTTTTTATTTTAAAATAAACTGTTCTTTTTACCATTTAATTAAAATGTATTAAAGTTAAAAGAGTAAAAATGTCAAAAAGGTAAAATAAAATAGTGTGAAATATGTTATTTTACATTTCTGGCCAAAAGGATTTTTCCTAAACTATTTTATAAACCATTAATATTAATCAACATGTAGTGAAAATTCCAACATTATAAGATTCTAATTACTTAAGCCGCCAAATTAAATAGGCTTAATTAGCAACTAATGACACAATATGAGATTCACAATTTTTTAAGGATGCCTGTGTCTGTGCCTAGAATCTTATCAGACTTGACCAAAGTTATTTTGACGAGTGTTTCTCTAAATAATGAGTATTTTTTTTTCTAGGATGCATATGTCTGCCTTTGGTTTTCTTATTCTATCTGACAATTATTAATTATAATCTCATTAAATAATTACTTCAACAGAAAAAACAATTATTAAAAAATACTTGTTCTGCAATGTTACATACATTTATAATTACTGGCCATTAGAGGTACGTAGTATTTTTGTGTTATCTTTTGACCGTCGAATTTAGTATTGCGACATAAATTGAGACAAACAAATAAAGAGTACTCACATTTTTTTAATAATTTTTTTTTTGTAGCCCCAACTCCCAAAAAGAAAATGAAAAAAGAAAGTAAAGTAAAGAAGAAATGAGCTAGCACATCATGAAGCACAATTCCACTTTTTGCTACTTAATAGCTGTTATTTTGTAATCTTCAAAAGTATATGATCGAAGTTGATAATAATGATATGTAGACTTGTTTAAATCAAGGGTCCCTTTTGGTTCGACAATATTTGAGGCTAGATTCCAAGAGCTATGACAGACATGATTTTAGAAATTAAGACTGAAATAATTTCAGTCGATATTCGATATTTATAACTTGATTAGTTGAATTTGCGCCAAAACATTCCACTTCGAGGATAAGGTAGTCAAAATATTTGGTTAATAATGGAAGGGCAACTCTATCACCTCACCGGGAATAGTAGGGGACTTAAGTGGTTCATCTGAATCTTTTCAACGAAAAATTATACTTATTATTTATAAATGATTAAAAAAATTAAATGTATGTATATATATATATGTATAGATGTTGAATCGCCTTCAACTTACCTTTTTAAATTTTAAATTCCTTAATGATAATTATGATTCCGCCACTATTGAACTCACTATAACCTTATCATTTGTTTTTCTTGTTCTACTTTTTTTTTGTTTAAGATGAAATGAAATAATTTTTGTTCCACCTAACATCACTTATCTAAAAAAACTTAATTATTAATCTATTCCATAGGTGTAAAAGTAGTATGTGGCACTTGTGTAGT